CAGGCCCAGGGCTTGATCCCCAGGGAGGGGCATCCAGGGGACAGCCAATCAATGATTCCTTCTCATCATTGATGTTTCTATCTCTCTCTCCTTCTCTGAAATCAATAAAAATATATTTGGAAAAAAATGGAAACAATATATTGCACAAAAAAGATAAAAGGGCAAAAAGTTGGGCAAATATCCATCAATAGGGCAATGGGTAAACTTAATCCTATATAATAAAAGGCTAATATGCAAATAGACCGAACAGCGGAACAACCAAACAACCGGTCGCTATGATATGCACTGACCACCAGTGGGCGTGCACAGAACATGGCCACACAGGATGGTGGAGCAGATGAGCGGGGGCGCCAGACCAAGGTGGGGCGCCAGTTGCTATCATAAGGGCGAGCCTCTGGTGGTTACTGAAAATTCTTTGCTCCCATGGCCCCACTTGCACCCGCTGCTGGTGCCAGAGCCCCTGCTTGCACCCACTGCCAGCGCCGGCCCTGCTTGCACCCGCTGCTGGCACCAGCCCCAATCATTCTATGCCATCAGCTGGTGCAAGTGGCAGCAGTGGGAACGGGGCTGCCAGCAGACAGGGGACCAGAGGCTGCGGTGGGAGGGGCGGGCGGGAATACGGAGGATGGGCCGAGACCCGCCCCTTGTGCCTACCGCAGCCTCACGGCCCACAGTTCCTTTCAAGGTGCACAGATTCGTGCACTGGGCCCCTAGTATAGTCATAAAATAGAAGGTATTCAGCTGTTAAAATAAAGAACCAGAGCCACAACTAAAATTAAAAATCATCCCACCCCCTAAAACTGACCAAGTTTAATTTTAAGTTGCAAAAGGATGCACAAAGCATATGTATCAAAATCAAAATATATACATATAAAAAAAATCAAGGCAATACAGCATATACTTCTGCAGATACATACATATATAGCTAAAAGTATGGAAATGCCAATGAGAATGAAATACATTAATTTCAGGTGACTATGTTGAATTTTACCTGAGCCCCGTGCTCCTGAAAGCAGTGCCAGTTAAGAAATCCACTCCCATCATTGTGTGTTCTGGGGAACAAGTAACACAAGGATTCTGCCCTTAAGACTCCCTGATTTACCTGCCCCAGGTCCCCATTCCCTCCCCCCTTTTTTTTTGAGATGTTCCTCACTAATCGATGTTCTCCCAATTGCAATAGCCTAAAAAAGAAATCATTTCCTTAATTGGCTGGTGCATTATATCTTTGACACTGGAGTGGTTGGTTATTTCTGGGATAAGAAGATGCATACGTAAATGTAACGGTAGCATAACTTGAAATGTGGCAAAAAGTTAATCTTTTTTTCAAAGGAACTTGTTGTTCTATGTAGTTTTCCGCTTAAAATGTTTCTAAATTAATTTTAAAATTATTTTTAAAATTTGATGTGGAGTCAGAAGTGGTCACACAAGTCAATCCATTAGTCAGTTTTCTGATACGTTAAGTAGGCACATTAACACATGCCCAACCTATTCCACTAGGTTGTTATAAATAAAAGTGTTTTTGCTAATCATCAAGTGGTACAATACATTTGTAATTCAGTCTGAGCCAATTAGTTCGGTTTGGTAGAGCAGCATTCTGATTAGAATAAAGTTACGGATTAGATTATCATATAGACCTTTACTCTGTTTCAGGGGCAACACTACACTCTTACTTCAGAGAGAGCAATGTAGCTATACTGCAAATGAACACACTATCAGTTACAAGAGGAGCTAGGAAAGTCTATGTTATGTCTCAATCCATACCCAACACAAGAACTACTGAGCAGATAACCCAAAGAATTTGGTGGGTGGGCTGGTAATCAATCTTTATATGAGGAAACTGGCACACCCAGCACACATACGCCAAAGTTTTGTTTGGAGTGTGTAGATGTGGTTCATGTGGAGGGTAGGCATCTTTTTTTTCTTTTTTCCTTTTATTGGCACTGTAAAGTGAGACTTTGAAAACATGAAATTTCATGGTAAAGTGCCCTGGGTTATCTTTTGAGTTGGTTTCAAATTGCTTTACTCCAAAGTGCTTCTGGAATACTTGGTGAGTACCAGGAAGTGATTTTGTTAATGTAGAACAAAACCATCAACAGTTAAAATTTAACTTAAAAAACTAAAAAATTTGAACCCAGTATCTAGACAACAAATCTAAAAAAGATAAAATAGCGAGGTAAAATGCTAAAATCTGGGATAATAAAGGAACTTTCCATCTTCACAATATTCTATAATAGATGGACTGAAGGGAAATGCTCTATTCTCATGAGGCTTACATACAAGAGTAACCAACTTTCTTTGCAAGCATCCAAACAAGACTAGCTTATAAGGTCTTCTTTCTTTAAATTCATTAAATTTATTGGGGAGACACTGGTCAACATGAACATATAGGTTTCAGGTGTGGGTTTGTTACAAGATCTGTATATTGCACTTTGTGCCCACCATGTAAAGTCAAATCTTCTCCTGTCACCATATAAAGTCTTTTCTTAACCTCTCTACACCAAGAAGTTTGAAATGTATTTGGAATCACCCATCTTGATTTGTGTTTCTCCTCCTCCCCCAAGAACCAGTAAGTAAAACAGATTCTTCATTTTATTTGAATTACAAAAATATGGAAGTATACCTTTAACTAAAGTTTAACTATTTAACTAAAGTTAAAATGCTTGGCCCTATTTTCATACAAAATAAAGTTTGCAGTCTAGCAACTCAAAAACATAGAATGTCAAATTAGAAGACCCTAAAGCAGGTTTCATAGCACTTTCGTCAGAGCTGATGGTCTTACATGTACTAGCACTCAAAACCCTCAGGTTAAAATGGTCTTTTAGTATGAAGTAGTATATGTATTTATAATCTTAAAGAGGTTAAAAATCTTAAATGCTGATTCTCTTTGTGATTTACAGAATTAAACCAAAGAAGAATCAGAAACTGAACACTATCAAATTCCCAATACATATCCTCAGTCACCAAGAAACTACTGATTAATCTCATTTCCTTCCACTAATGAGACTGTGTGCACAGTCATGAAAGTTGCAATACCTTAAGAAAACCAAAACTATTATTCCGTGAAAAACATTTTGGATGCAAATAAGCTGGCACCAACTGCTTCCACGCAGACAGATGCAAAAACTGTAGTATTTCTAGCAAAGTGTGGTAAGCCTCTGCCTGCAAATCGCTGACCAAAAATGGTCATGGCGTGTTGCAGGCTAAAGAAAACGACAAAATGTTCCACTTGAGAATACTTAAGAACACTGTTTTACGGCACACTGGAATTCCAGTTTAGACGGGAAAATATGTAAATTAAGCAGAGTGTCCATCACCTACTGAGCATGTTTACTTTTGCAGTGTTCTCAACCTTCTGGCCCTTTAAATACAGTTCCTCATGTTGTGACCCAACCATAAAATTATTTTCGTTGCTACTTCATAACTGTCATGTTGCTACTGTTATGAATCGTAATGTCAATATCTGCTATGCAGGATGGTCTTAGGCGACCCCTGTGAAAGGGTCGTTCGACCGCCAAAGGGGTCGCGACCCACAGGTTGAGAACCGCTGTTTTAGAGACTGGGATAATTTTACGGACTTTAAAAAAGTTTTTTTCATTTGTTTTTATGCGTACGCCTGCATCATGCCCACCCCTTGCATGCCGAGTTCTGAAGCACAGCCACACTGTGTACAGGTAAAAGGCATTTTCCAGCCGCACCCGGCGAGGTCGGGCCGGCGAGGGTTAAAGCAGACGCCGCCAAGCCTGACGAGCACAGGGAGAGCGCAGCAGGAAGCGGACGGACGGACCGACGGCCAGACACGGCCGAGAAAGCGGCTAAAGGCCACCCGTCCTCACCCTGCCCGGGTCAGGCTCCGGGATCACTGCGCCCCCCAGGGCTGCTCAATAAAGGCCGTATTTTTCCTTTTCGAGATGGACAGACCTGACCGGCGCATCTGTGCCGGGCTCCGGGGAAACGTGCCCCGAACAAGGCCGCTCCGGATTCCCACGCCCCCCGCCCGGGGTTGGCGAACCCCACCCCCCAATCGATCTCGCCGAGGCGGGGAGAACTCGACTCCAACTGGTGGTACCGAGGCCAGGGCGGAGAAACCTCCGAAGCGGCGCTCCG